TTGCTCAAATGTTTTCTTTTACCATTTTTTGTAAAAGTGTTTTCCTTTATTTGAAATCATATAGAATGTAATTGTTAAAAGGCATGCAAAAGAGAAGAATCATGGCTGGTCAAAGAAATACAGTACTATAATTGTATAATAGCTACTGCAATTTTAAACATCATACTTTTTTCTTTTATTGTACATTTTTGTGTGCAATCTGTGTAATTGGATTGACCAACCGTATTCGCGATTGTACGTAGTTTGGTGAAACTGCATAGTGGGATAGTTAAAAGTTACTGAAAATAAAAATTCTACCCATGACGTATTAACTATTGCACCGTGTCTGGTAAAATCTCATTTACCAATGGAGACGTAAATATATGGAATAAGTACAAAAACTCAGTTTGTTATGTATAAAACAATTGATGGCTTATCCTTGCGCTATAACTAGATTCAGTCATATCTCTTGTGTAGTATTAGGCTTTTGTAATGCTATGTTGTGTGAAACGAAATTTTTGGTTTAATAACACGATTTTACTGTGCATTAAACATTCGATAGAACTTATTATTAAGAACTTAAAAATAGAATTCTAGTCGGTTGGATTAATATCTAAAACGTTATTATTCGCAATATAAATGGCAGACTATTGTTATGTATATTTTCTGGGATATTGATTAATCGATCAATTAGAATTCTATTTATAAAATTTCACGATGTATTCTGAACATAGCTGGGCCGAAATGTCTTAAACGTTTAATAAAAATGCATTAAAGTTGTCTCTTGAATAAAAGTAATGTACAACACTCTGGATGGAAAGGCATTCACGTTGTTATCAGTTCGTTTCGAACACGCATCTCTGACTCATCAGATCAATGATACTCTCAATTTATATAGGCTGTTTCAGGGGAGGTTCTCAAAGTAAGCAATTGCAATTGCAATTCTGTAATTATTACTTTCGTTGATAATAATCGTGCGATAATAAAATATGAGTGAACATGTGGAAGTATATAAAATGCTCCAAAATTTTGGGTAATTCTACAGTAGAAAAATGATCAATGACTTAAACATTATTTTATATTCAATGTTTGCATCCTTAAATTCTTCATACAATAACGATATTCATTATGTTGTAATAAATGCAGAAAGATTTGTTCCCTCGATATATTTTAACGTTTTATATGTTATTTAGAAAATTATTTCTGAAAATGGCCCGTCGGCCTCGAAAATCGTTATACATAAATATTTATAGATATATGAAACGTCTCTAACAATTAAGTTTCCTCATCGTCAGCAATTATGGCACTGAAGTGATTACTTCCTTCCGAATTCAAAATCGTAAAAAAACATTTATATAATGCATTTGATAAAAGTTTGTTAAATTACTTACTCTCTATGCTTAATCTCATCTATCCTATCGAAATACAATTATAACGTTATGGAGAGCTCAACATCGATAAAACTGAATATTCCGCAACGACGTTTATCAATATACATAATGCGAAGACAATCTATCACCTCGCATCCCATAAACATTTTAAAAAAAAACTTCAAAATGCGTCCGCTGATGCATGAAACGCGGGAATGAAAGTTGTCAAGTGAAACACTCGTGTTTCGGGAAGCTTGGTTTCATAAAAGAACGTTAAACAATTCCTATTTCATTTGAAAAAGATGATTCAATAATTGTTTACTTTCAAGCAGTGCACTGCGTGTACTGGCGCGCCTTTTGTTCGATTGCCATGAGATGCTTCGCTATTTCCCCTGTCAAAGTGTCAACTTCCGACATTAAATCGGACAACATCCTCTCGTTGTCTCTGTAGACGCTCTCCATGCCGTCGAGATCCTTAGATTTCGTGCTCGTGTCGACAGTTAGCTCGGAAGCTCGCTGCAGGAGCTTCTTCGCCCTCTGAATATTGTCCTTGCTCTTGTTCACGCTCAGATTCAGTGACTCGTCCACCCGCATGTACTCTTCAGCGAGCTTCTTTGTCTTTGTGTCGACTTTCTCTGCCTCGAGGGCAACTTTGTTCGCCTGGACGCTGAGTTCCTGATTTAGAACAAAGTCGTTTCTCAGTGACTGCGTTTGCAATTGCTTCAAACGAGCATCCAAGGCGTCTACGGTCTCGGTGGTGCTGTTTGCCTGCATTAGAGCACCTTGCGTCACTTCTGCTATTTCTTCCAGGTCTTTTTCCGACTTCTGCACGTCTCGCTCAGCCTGGTCGATCGCTAATTGTGCCAGATTCTGAGCTTTTTGCGCGTCGTTCAAAAGCACCACCACTTTATTAGCTTGGGTCTGGTTACCCGTTGCGTACTCCTTTACTTGATTCGCTTGCTCCTTCAATTGCTCCGCTAAGAGAAGATCGTTCCTGGTGTCAGCGAGAATCTTCTCGGAATCAGTTAAAGAGCCGACGATGCTGTTTATGCGTTCAGCCAATATCTTGATCTCGTCCGGTCTCAGTTGAATGTTTTTGGCGAGCACTTCGTTTGCCAGGTCTCTGACCATCGACGGCGTCGGCTGCTCTTCGTCCAGCATGCTCTTTATTCGTTTGTTTATGTCGGACAGATCTTTGGTCACGTTGTCGGAGAGGTTGCGGGCATTCCAGGCGAAGTTGAAGGCGTCCTGCGCGTTTGATCTAGCTGTGATCGCGTCCCGCTTCACTTGCATCATCTGAAAAGAATAAATGGATACTTGTAAATTAATTTTCACTTATTTCTTAAACCGTTGACGAAAGTTATTGCTGGAATTACAGATTAAGAATTTCGTCTGAAGTTAATCGCTAATTTATGACTCAAAACTTGTGACTTAAAATATTAAAATATAAGACGTTATAGACAAGAAGGTAGTTTGAATTTAAAATTAATTCAAAGAAAAATCTGATCGAATTGGATGAGAGACAAATGCTTCGAGGAGCAATAAGAAAATCAAACCAAAGTATTCCAATTATAGCAACCGATATTCAGAAATATTTTTAAAAATTTCTATACGTTGAAAATGTTAGAAGAACTTTAAAGGGCAGCTATGTTTATAACAAATAACTCTAGATAAAAATAAGTTCTATAAGTTAGTATTATAAGTTATTAACTAAAACAAAATAAAGGATAATAAAAAGAAAATGAAGAATGAATAAGTTTACCTTGGCATTTAGTATTTCAAAAACATTACCTAGCTTCAATTTTTTACATCGAAAAGTAATTGAAATTATCTAAAACGACTACTTCTTATTTCAATAAGCGTCACACTTGTTAAATCTTTACTTTCATCAAATAGCAATGCCTAAATTTATTTTGGATAAGAAAGAGATTGAAACACTTACATTGCGTAGCAATTGTTCAGCCTCCTCCTTATGTGTCTTGATCTTAGTCTCTTGTTTCTTGGCAACATCCAACGCTTGATTAGCTTTGGTCACGGCTCCCGCATCACAAGATAATCCTCCGCAAAATCCACAACCAGCTCCGCCGCACACGCTGCTACAATCTGTTACATTATCTCCGCACATCTGAAGGTTCAATCTGGGCATAATCTCATTAAACACTCTCAACTTCTCATTTATCTTGTTCAAGGAGTTTTTATTCGCCTTCTGGACGTCATTCACGAAGACGCTCTGCTTGGCTAAAAGACTTTCCGTATGTTTACTGAATCTCTCCGCATCCGCCAAAACGTTGCTTGTATCGTTCGCCATTTTTTCCGCTTGTCTGGATTGTTCAGCCATTTGCTGAGTGACGTTCAGCGCACCCTGAACGTTCTCTTCTTGCAATCTGGTCGCGCTCTCTTTAAGATCTGCAGCCGTCTGATGTAAATTGTTCGTCCTATTCTGTAAGTATTTTAGAGCAGCATCTCCTAAATTCACTTTTTGTCTGACCTCCACCAAAAGAGTATTCGCTTTCTCCAACTCTTTCGCCGAATCAGATACATTTTTGCTCAATGCGGTTGCTAAATCGTTTAATTCGTCTAGGTCTTGGCTTCCGATAGAGGCACTGCCAATCAATTCCTTCACTTGCTCCAAAGAGGAGTCCATGTCGTCGAATTCTTGACTGTAGACACCAGTTGTCCCGACCTTCTGGATTCTAGACGCTTCTTCGATCACCAGATTCGTTTTGTTTCTCAAACCGGTTAGTGTTAGGTCCCAATTATCGAAGCATTCGCCGCATGGTATACATTGAGGGGCGTTTCCGTGGTAACCTCGATCACATTGATCGCATTTTTCACCGCCGATTCCTTTTTTACAGACGCACATGCCGGTGGCCCTGTCGCACTGTTGGCTTGCAGAGCCAGCCAAGTCGCAGTCGCAAGGATGACACTGGACGTTCGGGTTACCCCAGTGATTCATCTGACATTCATTGCATTGTCTGCCTCCGAAACCTGGTCGACATTCGCAAGTGCCATCGAATGGATTACACCTGTTTCATAGAAGAAAGTATATGAACATTGTACACTGGTGCAATCTGCATTTCATTCATTTGTTTTACATTTAGGGATGAATAATAATGTTAAAGTTGTAGGTATAGAAATCAAACTCATACATGTTTGATGTAACAGCAAGAAGTTCAGTACGTAGGAATTAATCTAATTAATTCAATATATGAAAAAGAATTCTTGTTTTCTATGTCTAATATTTCGAAATAGTAACCACCAGTAAAACTCTAAACGTATGCAAGATGGTTGTGTTGTTAACTTTTTGTTAGAAAAATCTATACTTATAAGTTTGTTTTCTATTCTTCCAAATGTATACTATCCTTCCATGTTCTACACTTCCATAGCTAGCACAGTTAAATATTGTAACGTTACGTACACAAAAACCTACAAACAAAACGCATCAAACATTCAAGTCTTGAAAAGTTCGCTAAACCGGTAGTACCTGTCATGAAGGCTGCCAACCGCGTCGCAATTGCAAACGTCGCATCCTTGCCCGCTGGCGATTTTCCAGTGATTCTCTTCGCAGGAGCCACAAAGTTGACCGACCACGTGAGGCAGGCAAGGACATTGACCAGTTCGATGGTTGCAGGGACCAGCTTCGCTGTCAGTGCCCAGCGGATTACATTCGCAGATTTCACAGTCCTGCGTCAAAGCGTTACCATAGTAACCCGCTTTACAGATCTGACAGTTAACTCCGTCAGTGTTGTGCAGACACTGCAGACAACGACCCGTATGGGGGTCGCAGTTTCCAGGTACACGTAGGTCTGTGTTGTTGTTGCAGTTGCAGGGTTCGCACTTGCCACCAGGTACCTCGGGATTCCCGAAGTAATTTTCTGCGCAACTCTCGCAACGAGGACCGGTATATCCTTCGAAACACTCGCAGATAACATCGTGAGTAACTGAATCTAGGGAACAGCTATTTGCGTATGAGTGGCCGGAGTCCAATGTTCCTAAAAAGTAGCAGAACATTCAAAATTAACGCTTTATCCCCTAGAGGTTATACGGTCATTTCTTTAACACGTTCGCTACCAGCGCTTATTTCGGCGACAGTGTTTCCAAATATAATATTTTCTTCAATCCAATAAATCTTCTAAACAAAATATTATAAAAATGAAACTGAAACGATTCATTGAGTTCCTAAATATAATATCATAGTTTATCATTTCTAATAACAATATCTATAGGATTAATTTCATTTTCATTCTGTAAAATATAGGATTACGGCCGTGACAAATATGTAACGCTGGTAGCGAACGTGTTAAAATCAATTATTAACAACTAGGTGTACGAATAGCCGAATAAATGGAGTAATTAGAAGTATGAACTAACAAATCATCACGGAAAATATAATTTCCCAATTTCTGTTCGAATTGCCATTTAAAAGAAAATTGAATAATCGAATATTAGAACTTAAATACAGTTTGTACAATAGTGTAATTACATAGTTACTTTTTAACGATAAATTTAATTTTTATTGATAATAAACCTTTTAAACGTTATATATATATACAAATTCAAGTAAACTCACCTGGACAAGGACAAGCTCTGCACTGAATGTCGACGCCAATCCTAGGATCACCATAATAAGTGTCGTTGCATCGGTCGCAATTGTGCCCGGTAGTGAAGTCACGACACTTGATGCACGCGCCGGTCTTCGAGTCACAGCTGTCGGCGTGACCGTTGCACTCGCAACGTTGACAATGCGGGAAATTCCAGAAGCCAGGTTCGCATTGACCGCAGGTCCTGCCGTAGGTGTTGGGACGGCATTTACAACGACCGGTTTCCACGTCGCAGAAATTATCCAAGGCACCAACGCCGTCGCAGTCACAAGGGATGCAACCTTCTGGACCGAAACCGTACATTCCGGGTGCGCAACGGTCGCATCGCCTTCCAACGACGTTGGGTTTACAGGGACACGTGCCCCCATAATTCTCGCAAAGCAAACTGTGGGACCCCGTTGGATTGCACTCGCAAGCTGAAATCAAAATACCCAGTAGTTTTAACACTAGAACTATCAAACACTTATACTGACTTTTCCAAATTTCTTTGTTAAACTTATAACTGTGTATTTTATTAACCCTTTGCACTTGGAAGTTTTTCACTAGAAATATTTGAACATTTTCTGATGAGATTGAGGAACATATTTTATTTCAATATTTCTAAAATTGATGCATTATACGAAGTATAATATTAAATATCTACTTTTAACACTTTTAACCCTGTCACCCTCTTGAGTGCAAAGGGTTAGGATTTCAATTGGTTTATATTTCAGTGTAGGTATTACTAAATCAGCTTCTTTAACGATTTCTTAGAGAAGCATCTGTATCTTCTCAGTATTTGTATTAAAAAAGTCAGGACTGTGTCATTCCTGATTCATCTGGTAGTTCTAGTGTTAAGTATGTTAAAACATAAAAGATGGAGTAAGATTGAGCGACTCTACGAATAAAGGACCGATGCTTTTAATGTTTCGATTTACAGTGGCTAATAACGAATTAAAGTAATCTAAAAATATTTTATAAGGATTAACCCTTTGTACTTGGAAGTTCTTCACGTGCAACATTTCTCAATGAGATATAAACATCGTTCTTTGAGACTAATAAACGAGAAAACGTATGTACGTTAGGAAACAAGGTTATTTTATTTAAATATTTCACATATCGATGCATTATCGAAGCAGAATATTATATATAAGACTCTAATTTTGTTATATCAAATCTAGTGGTGACTAAGAGTCACCTCTCGAGCATAAAGGGTTAATAAAACGTCTGTTTTACATTAAAGTTAATGGATCTCTTGGTTAATCAAGTATTCATTTCTTAATAAAAATATATTCATTTGTAACTATCTTTGTTACTTAATTTATAGCATATGAAAAGCTTTCTTGATCATTATAATTTTTCTTTGATTGTTAGTTAACAAATTCATTCGTAAAGAGTTAAAGGTGGCTTAAATTTCAAGTTAATGTAATAATTACTCACAATGGGCACCGTCGTAGACGTAATAACCGATGCTGTTCTGGTACTTTTTACAAACTTCGGGTACATTGGTCCACATAGTAGCAATATCATTGAAGTATTCGCTGCAATGGTATCTTTCGTATTCCTGGCGGCGTAATTCTCCTATACCTGGTGCTTTGAAGAAAGGTATCGCTTCTATTCTTGGCCTCAAAACAATCTAAACGAGCAATAGATAATACGTTTTAACTAATAGATTAAGATTAAAGATATTTCAAGTAGCTGAGTTTACTAGAAGAAATCAATATAAAAAACATACACAATAAGTTGCTTTAATATTTACTCGGTAACGTTATTTTCTTAATCAAGTAAATGAAACTTTAAAAGAAGTTACTATATTTCTTTGAAATGAGTACGGAAATCAACTCGTTCACAAATAAAAGTGTCTCCACGATACTAAGTTCTCAAAGTTCCAACATTTTAATCGTCACTCACCGAGTCGACCAAAATGGATGCGGAAGGCGTGTCCATTTGATTGTTGAATTTGCGGAACTGCAACAGAAGATTGTATCGTTTCCTTGCCTCGAGGCAAACAGCAGGCTGAGCGACGACACTTCTCGATCTGACAGGTAACTGCGCCCACAGCTGATCGTAATCCGATCTCGCATCAGCGCAAGGTCCGTTAGGATCCACCGGGCTCTCTCTTTCAATGATGATCTTAACGTCTTCCCAGAGTCCAGGTTGAACGGGCTCATATCGCACGATCACTTCGTACCACAAAGTTTTCCTCACATCGTCGATCGTGAAATTCAACGTCGAACCTTCCAAAGCTTTCATAAATCCAGTCCCAGTCCAGGTAACGTTCCTTCCGTCACGGTAGGGTTCTCTGATTACCACTTGACAGTTATCAGTAGCTCTGGACAGCTCACCTTCATAGATCAGGAAATCCAAAGACCCGGTGTAATAACTCTGCTCCGGCTGATTACACGTTCTACCGCTGATATGAGGTCTGCAACGACATTGGCCGGTCATGACGTCGCAAGAATTCTCGTAAGAACCACCAGGATCGCAGTCACACGGCTTGCAACCATCTGGATCTTCCGAAAGACCCCAGTAACCCGGAATGCACTGGTTGCAATCACGAGCAGTGACGTAACGCTTACAAGTACATTCGCCAGTCACCATGTTGCATCCGCGGTTGTCAATGGTACCCAGAATATTACACGTGCAAGCTTGACAACCTTCGGGATTCTCGGGATCAAAGTTCCAAAAGCCATTCTTACAGCGATCGCAACGACGCCCTTCGACGTTCGTTTTGCAGTGACATCGGCCAGACTCGTCACCGCTTAGGGGATCGGTTCTAGAGTCGCAAATACCGTCATCTAAAGAACCGCTCAAATCGCAATCGCAGGGCAGACAAGCTTCAGGATGCGAAATGTCCTTTGTGATATCGTGGTAGTAAAATGGTTTACATTGTTCGCAATTTTGGCCGCGAGTGTTGTGTTGACAGTCATCGCAAACACCGCCAGAGACTCTTCCCGATCTTTCATAAACGGTCTCGTCGAAATGACAGGATTGCGTATGGTTGTTACAGTTGCAAGGACGACAGGCGTTCGTCTGTTTACCCACGGCGGGTTTCCATGGTAAATCGTTGTAAAAATCTTGACACTTTTCACAGTTTAAGCCAGTCGTGTTGTGGGTGCATTCGCATCTGCCGTGCACCATGTTTTCTTCATGTGAGACGTCTGGTAGAGGAAGACATCTTGACGCGTGACCGTAACAGGAACAGGATCCGCGGATCACCATGTCATGAATTGCGTAATAATATTTTTCGCGAATCTCGGCACGATCGTCTAGAAGATCGTCTCCCAATGTGTGCAGTCTTGTCATGTTGATCCGTAGATTCGTTATTTTCAAGAGGTCTTGGACTTCCTTCGAATAGGGATTGTCGATTTCTAAGTTTCGCGGAAGTACTCTGCACAAAGAAAGTGAAGACATGTAAGGTTCATAAAGTATCATATCGAAATTGCCAAAAATTTATTATATTTTTCCATATTTTCATAGTGTTGACAATATATCTTTAGAACGACTTTATATGATTTGTAAAATTAGAAAAGTTGTACAGATTGGGTTATAAATCGCCCTTTCTTTATCCTCCACTTTTTTCTTATTTTGATTCAAAAATATATGTTTATATTTTAAAACATTACTACAAGAGAAAAAATAACCGTAGCAGAAGGTTTTCGTTACACTGAACTGTGATGCAGGCTTTATTAGTCAAACATTATAACTGATCGAAACTTCTAAGTATTACGTATGTCGTTAAACGATGTGTTCGAAATTATGAGGCCTAATGACAAAGCTGAAAATCTCAACGCTATGTTTTCGTTTGAGTAAGAAAATCTTTATTCTTAAATTATATAGTTATCCAGAGACAAAAGTCAAAGTGTCTTCGATTAACAGAGCTATAAAAGACATTGATCGTTTAGAGAAGATAAACGTGAAATTTGTATTTGTATGGTTACCATATGTACCGAATGTAAATTAATATATCGACATTATCAATGATTGAAACCAAAGTTATTCGCTTACGTTGCGGGGGACCAGTATTTATCACAGTTTACATACCTGAAGATAACATCTCCGCCAGTTGACGGCGCCACGCCGGAGTATCTCGTCTCGCAGATAACGTCGGTCAGTCTCTGAGGTTGCTCCGTGGAAACCTGAGGGAAGTACTGCTCGCAATTGTGAGCGAAGTATCGGTAAACCTTCCAGGTCTTGCCGAAATCGTAGGATCTCTCGATCAACATCGCCGCAGGTCGGAAAGTTTTGAAACGGATGATAAGGTGGGTGAAATGGAACTCCGCTTCCAGATCGAAACGGATCATCACATTTTCCACGCCATTTTCCGCCTGCCACCAAGTTCTGGAATTTTCATTAAAAAAACATTTCATATTTTTTAACGCCTTCGAATATTTCAATAAAACATTAGTTGATCTATACAAAATTATTTACTTATTTCATAAATTCTTTGAACATAATTAGAACATTGTTTAGGGAAAAAATGCGAAATCACATTGCATCAAATATATTTACATTGTATAATACAATTTGTTTAATAGATACAATTTTCAATTTATATTCGTTTCGATTAGTTTTATGTGTTTCTAACTTTTAGTTTAGTGTAGTAACTTTATAACTTTAATAAGTTGAATTTGTATTCTCCTTGAAACTGATAATCAAAGAATGTTAATGGTTTAAATAAAATTAACCATGCCGGACGTTACATTTTGAAAATGATTTCTTACCCGCTGACGATATTTTCGATGTTGTGTTGTTGTTTCGGCAACGACGCGTCGCAGAAGAAACATTTCTTCCGGTCTTTCAAATGCGAAACGATGCAGTATCTTTCCGGTCCCCTAAGACCGCAAGTGGATGATGCAGTCAACCGACTTTTTCGACCGATTAACAGATTTCCGGTCGCGGGATAGCAAGAGCTTTGTTCGCACGGATGCTTCCTCTTCATTGGACCTGAAGAATATAAGAAATCAATTTAACAAACCGTTCTGCAATGAAAATATTGAGTTAGCCACAGTTGATTATCTCCGTTCCCGGTATCCAGTATTGTTACTAGTAACAGCTACGGAGGTGAATATTTGTTATTTACACTAGTAACAGTTAAAACTTCCAGATACCAAGGTTAGTTTCCAGAAACCATTCGACACCACCTCAACCAAATTGAGTGAGGCACACAAATAAATTTGTCTCAATCGTGTCGGTCACGTCTATCATTAACTATTTCACGACATCATGGAAATCAAAAATTAATTGAATTAGAACCAATATGGAAGTCGATGTGTATGGAAAAAGAGTATTCAGATACTTAAGATTGATCAGATTTATTTTGAATGAATTTCATTTATCAATAACAATCCTATTTTCATATGGTTTTCATTCTTTGAACTGTTGAATAGAAAAAATATAAAACGTCAAATTTATATATGTATATTGACATGAGTAGTAACAGATGTATAAAAACAATTTATTTTAATTGTTATTAGTAGTATAGAAAATGCCTGTTGTTATTTTTAAACTTATATAGAATTCACAAACAGAATTTTCATGATGTCCTTTCTTTTAATATACTTACTTAATTTCAATAGATCCTTTATCTTGAAAAAATATAAAAATTTGACTGCCTAAAGAATGAAATTGGTATAGTTAAAAAGTCTTAATTAACTCTGTACATTTAAAAAGAAAGACACGTGAGAGTTTAAACGGATCCAGACACCATTGTTCGTGTGATCACCAAAAACGTCTGTCGTTCGAGGGTTAATTGAAATATTATTATTATTACTTATACTTTTATTTTAATCCTCGGTACGCACGACTCTAATAATTATTATCACTCGAGCCGTAAGCAATTCTGTTATAAGCGGCAGGAGTTTCTTTTTTGGAATACCTGTCTGCTATTAACACGTTGAATGCAAACAGCGAAAGTAGAAAGAATGGATTAATTTGAATTGTGTAACATTGACATGCCATTATCACTTCTTTTTTTAGTTATTTAATGATAATGTATAACATGGATAGATGAAACCGGCGAGAATGCTACCTCTCACGTTAGGAACGGTCAGCCTTGGCCAATTATGGCGCTCTGCCGTTACCTCCATGGGTGACATATCTCCTCTCTGGATTGTTCCTATAACACCCCGTTTTTATATCGATTGCTTACTCGTATCTATCATTACGTATTCTAATGGCGATGTTTTAAAAGAAAGATGGCACAGGACGTACCAATGCCAAGAATTACACCTGAATATAATTTAAATATTAGTTTGTGAAACATTGTTTTCAGGAATGAAGGGCAAACTTACAACGCTGGTAAAAGGACAAAATATTGAAATTAATATACTTTTAATAAATGTAATTTACGCTCCTATTTTAATTGGGAATAAAAAGTAAACTTTGGAATGTAGATTTAATTGTTTATTAATTGTTCTGTATACAACAATTTTCTATCTACACTACAAAAATGTAAGTTTTAAAATAACGGTGTAATATAGTTTTAGCACCAATTTATTTATAAAGACTAATTAAACGTTATAATTAAACGCTGATATATTGTTTTATCGAATGCATCTCGTGTAATCGTTATCTTGTAAATTCTTTTCTTGTATGAATCGCATGTGTTTTCGATTTATATCAGCAAAGTAAAATATCTAACTTACCTCTGACTGGAAGTCTGTCCCTGGCATACTCAGGATCTGCAGCATCTATAAATTAAAAATTTTCTTTTTCTTATTTGATTTATATATATCATGTATAGAAATTAAGATTACAGAATTTAGTTGTTAGTGGCTGTCCAATCTACATAGAGTAATTACATATTGTGGATAAAATTATTACGCAAAAAATTATTCTTTTGCAAATAGTACTTCGAAGGTATACAGTATCTAGTTTTTTATTCTTAAAGAATCAACTGGAAACCATATTTCTACAGTGAAAATATTGAACCAGTCTAGAATGTGCAGTTATCGGACTCTGTTCTACTACCGGCGGACGTTATCACAAGGAACAACCGGATATTTATCATGTGGTGTCTCCGAATCTAATGGTTAAAATGAATGGAAACCTTAAAAATGAATAGAATTCGCTAAAATTAATAACAGAATTGTGTCCTTTCGTATGAAAATTCATAAATAATATTTTCTAATTTTGCAATACCTATCAGTCAACGTGTTCCGTTATTCTAAATATTTATTATTATTTTATTGTATAATTTGTATAATCTAGAAAATACTTTAGATTTGCTCATGAAAAGGTTATTCTACGATTAAATTGTAAATAAATAAATTCGTAACAGTTAATATTTTTCATGAAACTTTACACTTTCCGATTACGTGTGTAGTCACGCTCTAGATTTTATGGCATAATAAATTTATAAAGTTTTCATAAGGGCTAGAAGTTTTGTTGTAGCTGATCGAGATCATTTTTTGGATGTGCTATTTAATGTCTTTTCGGTCGTTACGTTTTAGGTTTCTAAGGCGCTTAGATTTGGAAGACAGAAATAAACTGGAGAAGTTTCGAAGAAAGGCAGGTCGTGGGGTCGAATCACTATCTAATCGTAATGGATAAAGTGTCTTCTCGTAAGAGGAATGAATGGAAAGCACGTTACGATTATGGATAGATGAACTCTATTTTGCTTTAACGAAATTCCTCTCATGTTGTTTCATCTATTTGAAACTGAAGACACTTTCCCCATTCCTGAGGAATGTTTCAAATAGCCTTTGATTTCTCCACAAAAAGAATTTACGAATGAATGAGTGTATATTCATGCAATTCTTTTTTTATAAATCTTATCCACGACACGTTTTCGAATAAAATAAAATTATGTTAACATCCTACTGGCTAATGATGTAATATGTATTTGCGATAACGATGGAGTATACACAAAAATAGATGTTATTCAATTAAAAGATACACTTACTAGATGCAATAGTTAATACAAATAAAAGTGCTACGAGAATAATCTCGCAAGAACTTATTCGAACCATTTTGCTCTCCTCCCCTCTGTTATAACTTATCGGACGGAAGCTAAGCCATGAGCATGATGTTTCATCTGAAAGTAGAAGAATATAATTTGATAAATATTTTTCATATTCTCTAAGAAGTACTTTACGATTATAAAATATTAATTGAACGATCGAATTTTTATTTTGTAGGTGTATATTTGGAACCAATCTATTCGTGGGTTTTTAAATTGTGGTATGTATTCAATGTATTTCTATCCTCCGATGACTTTTCGTGTTTTTATTAATTTCAAGTTTTTTAAACTAAATTTTAACTTATCAAAGATAGGTGTTTATGAATAAATTTTATTTATTTTTAATTATGTCCGTATTTGAGTTCATAGTTACAAAGCTCATCACTTAGCGAGTGAAATTTTAACATACACGAGTAATAAAAATTTTCAATAATTTCGAATAGGAGACGCAGATGCAATGAATGTGCTTGGCAAGCAACAAAGAATCCGCTGTTCTCTTCGTGTTTAATGTTTCTGTCATAACTTTTTAATAAAGTACTTCCAGACATGTGTTCAAATCGTTATTAAATTATTTAAATATTTTCCCTTGTATTTGTTTGATCGCTTTGCTATAAGGAGAGGGAATTTTAACTTAATTCTTATAATATTCTTATAATTATAAATTCTTCTAATTAGATATCTTAATACTTTATAAATTCTTATAATTAGATTCTTTATCTAGTAATTATCTTTTAACGATCAAAAATATTTTTCGAAGGCCGACAGATGTTCCAATTTTCTAAACGATAATACACATACGATTTAATCTACATATTTTACCTATGCTTTATAAATCAACTTTACTTCTAAATGAATTATTTTCTTTGAAATTCAATGAATCACAAGGCTAACCGTCCCTATTACTCATTTTATTAGCCCTTCTGAATGAAGACCTTACTTTATATCCTCATTAAGAAACTTATAGTTCAATAACGAACTTGTGTACGTATACAGACATAAACTACCAGTTACAATAATTGTCAATGATGTAAATACATACATGAATTTTAAATTCTTAACGAAATATTAAGGAATACGGATTTCTTCATTCTGTATAATCCATTATCATATTCAATAATGTGACACATTTAAATGTTATTTAATGCTTCTTGCTTATAATTTAACGATCGAATGAAACCAGTAATACAGGTGGTTCAGTGCACCTGATATATCGTTAAACATGAAAACATTATCAAACTTTAATAAGATAACACTTATTAACACAGAAGGTATTAGTATACTGCATTTAGAATAGTAATAGTTTTATGGGTTTAAAACATTAATGATGTTCATTATTTACTATTTATTATTCAATATCAGTCTAGTATCAAATTTTACATCCCGAGTTTTCTCTGGCTTGATATTTTTAACAAAACGAATGTGTGTAAGTAGAAATGTTTCAACCTGTGCACCAATGACTGCTTTAAACTTTTGGCGGCAATATGTTGCAAACAGTGTCGTAGCATTGCCTTGAAATAATAGAAATACAAAAAACTAGTATTAATATTTCCAATTACGAACCTACTAAAAAAATTTCCGATTAATTTGGTTAAAACCTTTTTCAAAAATCCATGATACACACATACATTAATCAATTCTATAAATGTTTAAATACATTAATCAATTATATAAATGTTTAAATACATTACTCCGAAACAGAAATGTTCACTCTTGTATACTGTTATTACTCTTGTATTCATAAAAAAGCAACAAAAGCTAACAATACTTATGGTATGAGCCTGTATTATAATCGCATTACAAAAAATTCATATTCGATAACAAATTCATAACAGACATTCATAATAAAAGAAATACCCTCAGATAAATCTTTTCTCAAAAATCATTTACAGTATTCCCTCCAAGACACAATGTTCTAATCTCACAAGAATTTCTTCAAATCTACACAAACCTTCGATCTCAATCACAGTGCTCCGCAATAGAAGTAAACATCCCCAAAGAATTTCGACAACCTCCCTTAAAAAATCATTCTACTCCTTCATTCAATCCTAAACAAAATTTGCAGAAACTTATCTGGCCGCGTGACCAGATACATCATAAGCGCACGATGCATTTTTAAAGAGTCCGTAGAAGCATCCCACGATCGATCATAACATTCCACGCTTAAAAGAAGCACTCGGTTCTCCGCTGAGATCATTTGACCGGCCGTGTCCCGTCGCTAATCAATCGGAGCAGCCAGTGCAGCTTACTAACATGCTAATCGAATATACCAGTGCATAGGTGACTGTAATCAAAGAAACACGTCCCTCTCTTACCTAATTCGGCGTATCTCGGCACGAGAGGCTTGTCCGCGTTTTTCAGGCGCGCCGATCGAGGAGGATCTCGGGCACGGTCACGATCACCAACGCGAAAAATCGATCGATCGGACGATTCACAAGCACACTGTCGACGATACACAGCAGACGTGAACGAGATCAAGAATGAACGAGAGCGACGCCGTCGAACGCCTGGTGACGCGTCTCTCGCACCGTTTCTGTGTTAAGGAGAACCTCCGCAAGCGGCCAGTGCCGTACGTAGAATGAGGTTCCTTTCTTTCGCGGATCGAGCGTGGGTGCTGATACAGACCGAGGGGAAAGGTGATGTCTCGGAGACACAGCGGGAAGAGTAGGGGAACGCTGCGGGGGCGTCAGGCAAGAAAACATTTTCCGTTGATCAGCCGCTCGCAATTCCATTTTTGCGGTATGCTTTCTTATTGATGGCCTGAGAATATTTGTGAATAGATTGCGAACGTTTTTTCTTGTAGACGATAGATTGTATGATTTTATGTAGCTGTAGAAAGTAGATAGACCAATTTTTTTATTGTTAGTTTAAAGGCATCCGTTAACAGACTTTCGTGTAATTGGATGTTTGTACAATTATGTATTCGTATAGGAAATAGATGAAATGTCTTATTGATGGCGTGAGAATGTTTGTGAATAGATTGTGGAAATTTTTTCTTCTAGAAAATTGTATACTCTTATATAAAATAGGTAAAAAATATTTTTCTTATTGTTGGTTCGAGAACGTTTGTGAATCTATTAATTTTGGATGTTTTTGGTACGATTATATTTTGTATACTCTAAAAGGAAATAGAGGAGGAAATAGAACATAAATAGAAATTATTTTTGACCGTAGATTCTTGTAAAAAAATGTACGTTTTAATAATTATTTAATGTTTAGAAACAGATAAATTATTTGAAAATGAGGATTCTACGATCATTTTGAAAATGATGTTGGTGATAATATCTGGAATCTAGTTACAAGAAAATATGTTTCGAATATTTTAGGTTTCGATCAGTTATATTATAAATCATTTTTTTATATGTTTTCTAGCAGCATTTATATAATTTCAGTTTTACTTTATTCTGCATTATTTCATTTAATATATTAATTTAATTAACGAATTGAATTTGATAAAGCAATTGCCCTAATCCAAAGATTAATATAAAAAGATAAACTTACCAAATGGATGTAATGTACCCTGATAGTTTTTATTCAATAAATATTGGTTAAAAATATTGATTAAAAATAGAACAAAAGAACAATAGGAAGAACTTGGATGCTACTATTGAAATCTTGTATTACATTTATTATTATAAACCATAGTTCGCAAATATTATGTTTCGCGTATCTTTCCTTAGATATTTTAACTTCTTGTCTGTTGTATAACAGCATAATAAAGTAACATATATATTTTAATATTACAAAATAAAATATTAACATTGTTTCATCTCGACTCGTTACTAATTAACTGTTATTTAAACATTTCACAGTCAATATAGTAAATTGTTCAATTATTAATTTAAAGTTGCAAACTGTGTACGATAGAAAATGTTCAGAATTTGAAATTTTTTAGATAATATTTAAAAGTAAAGGCAGCACAGCACAGTGTCCATTGCGTCAACCAGTGGGTTGCTCTTCACACGTGCAGCACACTTGTATTCGTTTTCCTTCGTTCTCTTCAAGATGGTTTATAGCAGGCATGCCATGCCATTGAGACTGACCAGTACCTCGGTCGTTAACCATAATCGAAGGTCTCTTCTCTTAGTGGTAATTCAACAAAATTATTTAATAAAGTTCCTTTCAAATTTGGAAATTTCTAATTACAATAGTAGTACCACGTGGCTGCTTTCAAAATCAGTAATAAATAAATTATAACTACGATGCTACAGGAATAAACTAATTAAATATTTTGCAGTGATTTTTTTAATCATAAACACAAGTGAGAAACGATAAAAAATTTCAGTAATTCTTCTTTACACACATATATATATATATACGAGTATAATATTAATTATAAAACGAACCAATACTAGCGAAACAAATGATGAAATGTTTTAAAAAATTCTTTAACATAATTGTTTTCGTAATAAAATATGAAATATATTTTAAACATTACTTTTATCATATCATTATGACATTAGTATTTAAATAATTTTTTTACTGCAACATGCAAAATGTTTTATACTGCATGGAATAAAGAGAATAAAGTATAGTGTCCTTAAAAATGACAGTGTTGAATTAGATCTCGTACGCGCAAAATGTAACGCCGAATATGATCAACGAAAAGGAAGGAAGAGAAGCGTAGGCAGCGTTATCATTACAGCGTATCCCGGTTATGATAGTAGAATAACACTGTCTTCTCATTCTCTCTTCTGTTCTTTAATACGACTTTTTTTCTTTTTCTTTTTTCTTAATCGATGTAAAACTACCATTAATTTTCAATTAAGTAAACTACATTTGCTCCTGCCAAGTAATATTTATGGTTAATAGCTTTGTTTAAAATGTTTCACAACAAAATAGCGTATATTACATTAATAAATGATAAAATTATTAATTTGGTTTATATTTTATATTTTCCTTAATCTCTGAGAGTTGCGAACACTATATCATACAGTTCTATTTATACTTTTAAGATATAGTAAATGGGTTTTTCAATTTGTCTTTATATTAATAAAATCTTGTATTTTAAATTTGAAATAATTTCTTGTAAAAGATATTAAAATACAGTCATGTAAGGTAAAAAGTAATTTCTTATGGTTTTTTGAAATAAAAATTTTTAATTTTATATTCTATTGTATTTTAGATATTTTTGTTTTATATTTCCCTTATAATTAGCTTAATTCTTTAATAGGAGATCTATATAAGCATTTGCTATTAAATCTTCATTCTTTATATTTAATTTAGCCATTAAATCTTGAGCAATTTTTTCTCCAGTTTCCATATCTTGTTCATCCTCTAAAATAACCTATAATATTAACAATAGTATATTATTAATTAACAGTTCATGAATATACTAATATTTATGAGTTTATTTGAAAGAAGAAAGCATATTTACTAGATTTAAAATATGTTTTCTACCTCTAACTCCATAAAAGTTTCTAAACCTTCAACTTCATCAATGTGTACTCGGGTCTGACCAATCATATATAACTTTCTAGTCTTTTTTACAATACCGATACAACCATTTGATGCACTCAAAATATTTCTAATACCGGTACAGGCATCAGGATTAAGACTTGTTTTCTGATAGTTACAGAGTTTGGGACCCAATGTATTAGATCTTATGTAATATAATAACTCTCCAGACCCATCCTAGATAATATAAAACATATGTGATTATATTTCTAATAATGTTTCTGAATAGAACATATATATATATAACTTCAATATAAGCTTTTAAAGATTTAAATTTCGTTAACTTATTTCAAGCAATATTTTTGCTTACAATATTTTGTATTTATAAATTCTATTTTGTTGCATGTTAGTCATTTAACTTATACTTAAATAAGTGTTAAATGTATGAAAGAAAAGAAATATAATCGTTAAATTCCCTTTATATTCAAGACTATAAAGAAATGTGATTATTCTTCTGAGTAGTGTTATTATTAAAATTATGAAATAAAAAATAATATCATAGTATTACAAAGTAATTAATGATTTACTTCAAACTGTCGTAATTTTAATCGACCTTCTGCTACTTTAAAGAAAGTATCATGCTGCTTTATGATTGTACAGTCAGAATCTGTCAGCTCTTTAGTTAAAGAAATTAAATGTTCTGGATTATTAACTTTTGCTTTTATCTCAATATTCCGCATTGTTATTGTTATTATTATCTCTTTATATCTCACTTATTTATTGTTAACAATAAAAAAATCTTTTAATATTATATTAGCGTGATAAGTGTGAAGAGAGTAAATTGGATATCTGTGGACTAGATGTTACATGAAAATATTGTTATCACGTAAGAATCTGGTGATTAAAGTGCATTATTTTATGTACGGCTCAGATAAAAGGTGTCTTATTTACGCCCCTTATGCTAGTAACTCGAAAATACCGTTCCCTCACTAGCTTTATTCAAGAAGCTGAAAGAGACTATATATGTGAGCAGTTTTGTGTTGTGTTCAATACAGTAAGTAAAAGTAGGTACGGAGAGGATAACTTTTCGTGAGAAGAATGCTACTAGAGTTCCTGTGGACACAGATTTAGGCACCCTTGGCTTAGGTAGAAGCCATTCGATGCGCATGAGCAGTTGCTAGTCTAAACAAAGTAGTTTGTGGATGAGAATGGCATGCTAAGCTTCTGCGAGGGGATATTGCCAGATGACGTGATTGAGGTTATGTTTAAGGTAGTCATAGTCGTACGCGGGATTGTTGACAGCTCGGATTTTGGACATGAATTCATTTAGTCTGTAGTGGTTCTATCGTGCTCTGAAGATCCATGATGTAAAGAGTCTTGGGAGTGACAGATTGTGAAATCAAAGTTTGGCGGTCTTTTGGAAGAATTGTTGGAAGTAATTGATGCTGATGAGGTTCGGGTAGCTGTCTCTTCCTTTTTTCAATCAGCTGTCGAAGCAGGAATTCCATTCAACAAAAAGCAATTCTATTTTGGTGAGGAATTGTGGATTTCGTGAAGGAAACAGGAGCTAAGACAACTAAAAAGTGACGTTGCATGGATTAAAGTTTCTGAACCCTAAGGCTAGTCTGGCTGCAATTTTTTTTATTTTCTCAAGTTTCCATGTCTTGTTTTTGTTTAGGGAGAATCAGAGGTAGACAGAGTTTAACTTCACGACCCCTTTATATATATAATTATTTTACAATTGTAAAGTAGAACTGAATTATGACTGAAATGTAGAACCGAAATGAAGAACTGAAATGAAGAAATGAAGAACTGAGTGAAATGGTCTACTCTCGAGATTTTGATAGCACAGATTTTTTTTAAACATCTCTCCTTATATTCAGTTTCATGTAATTAAACATAATTTATTATCCAAGAAAGTAAGTTTTTGTTTCAGAGAAGACTGAGAGGATTAGAAGATGGCATTCTGTGAAGGTTGCAGATAGGAACAATTATTTCACATGCAACCCCAATGTTCGAAGAATATGTTCATTCGAAAGTCCTTTTCCTTTTTAGCTTTATTTACTTTAATTTGAGTACAATTTTATTTTCAATGTAATTTAATTGTACTTCTGATCTAAATAACTTTAGCTTATTGTACTGTAGCATCTTCTCATAATTTGAACTTTCTCTCACCTTAGATTCATCTGCTTTAATTTCATTTTCATTGAGAAACAATTGCATTTTAATCATTTTTATTGTAGGTAGCAAAATGTGTTACTACACGAACACTTCTCCATCTTCTAATTTACATCCACTTATTTCAATTCTAATTCTAATCTAATTTTAATCTAACTTTATTTTAACATTGACAAATTATTAATTTATTCTTAATACAATTTTTATTTAATGTTACTGTAGCTCATTTACAATTCCTTTATATCCATTTTACAAATATGTTAGTATTGTATTTTAGTATAGACTCAAGAAAGAAGACGCTGCAGAGGGATTAATATTAAATATGATAGTTCTAAGTGCATTAATAATAAGATTTAGAGTTATATTAACTTTTCATACCAGTGTATATTTATTATTTAAATCTATATTACAACCTATATTATCTTCTTACTATATCAGTTACTGGCAGTAATCTAATGCACGATTCTTTTACTCGCGGAACGTTTCATCGCAGTGTTACTATATAAAAAGATATTGTCACATTCATTTTATTATGAACTGCATTTTTAAACTTGCGTTTCCTAAGCAGAACTTTAAAGAAACTGATTTTCTTAGAATTTTAAAATTATTATTTTAAGACGAAGTATATAAAATAATAATTTATTTATCATTGTATTGTTCGAAAGTAATATTCAAACTGAATCTAAAATTTGTTCAGAAAGTTCAATTCTTTCTAGTTAATATAAAGCAAGAACGAATTAGATATGGTTAATATCTTCTGAGATAAAAAATATTGTTAAAACTTCTGATCGCTATGGCGTAAACTGTCTTCAATAAATGTAGAATTCTTTATCGAGTCACCGAGCTACGTCCAGGGGTTCTTTTATAAAACGCACCATACTTCTATCATTTAAATGTACGCGCCTTATACACTTGTCACTAAATCTTATGACACATTCGTAGCACAAATGAAGTATACAGCTAATCCGATTCCTGCTAAGAAGTCTAAAATCTTGTATTATCGGTAAGGTCGAGTGTGACACCGAAATGATACAGAGATCTCAAGATCCTCAAAAGTCTACACAAAAATTCCTATAAACTGCGAAGTCTGTACGTATCTTAAGTCTGTGTTTCAATATCTTTTATTTTAATTCCTATCATTTATAACACTACCATGAAAAAACCAGCCTTAGTCGATATGATAGAATGTAACACGAAAATGGTAAGGGGGTTCTGCGACCCCCCATAAACGTAGGGCAAAATTTATCATTGCATGTTATGTTTATCCTATACCTCGTATATGGTATTAAATATTGACGGAGCGGTTCGAATGTAATTCTTAAACTCGCCACTTTTAATCCTAGATTACTCGTAGACTTACTCGCTACTTTTTATCGTCGGTGATTTCATTCTATATTATGTTGGCATATTAGGGAGTGATATTACAATGGTAAAACTTCTGCACAAAATTTTGTATTTTAGTTTTAAAAATGTTAAAAATCTTCACTGTAGACATTTTGCTAATGTAAAATAAAGCTACGAGTAGAATATCAGCTGAATCAGAACATAAAAGTTTCAGAAATCTCCAGAGTGACATTGAAATAGGAAGACACTTTTCTACAAAATTTTACTTGTGAACTTTCGCGACGCCAAAAGTCCATCTTGTAAACATTATATCCACTCAAAAGGGATCCATATACAAAATTTACGAGTATCTCATGTTGGTGGTTAAATACGCCCTGTTTTATCAACTGTAACTAATGGTTTTAAATTTTGTTATGTTTCACTTAATTCACGTTACGCGGTTGAAAAATTTCAAATGGAAATTTTTAATATAAATTTTTAAGATATGCGAATGCAATAATTTGTACAAGTTGATTTAGTTATATAGTGAGGTAAACTACTGCATTTTAGTTATTGCTATTATATATTGCTAGATACGTTTAAATACTTGCTTTACTTAATCAAATTAGATTTCATCAAATTATAAATTATACCTTTTGTTCTACAATTTTCTTTGTCATTTATTGATGTACTTATTCATTTATTACTATTATTTCAAAATGAACGAGGAAAGTTTTATCAAACCAGTATTTATCAATAAGTGGCTAATGAGAATATCCATTGCATAGCTATTATATATGATTACCTGTGTTTAAAGGTTTGATTAATCTATTATTACCATCCGTTATCTGAAAATATTACAAAAGTATCACAGCATAATTTACATTAACAAATATTAATGCAAGTAGAGATGAGGTGAAATTGCACGCATGGGAAACAAATTTCCAAGATCTAAAAATGTATGATTTTATTTTACATATTCTATTTACTTTTCGAATTAATTCATCTTCCTATGTACTACACTTTCTGATACATCCTGTATTTCTAATTACATTCATAAATTTCAAGCTAAATGTTATATAAATTATATAATACGCAACTGTTGGCACGGTTTGGAAGTTTATTACAAATATATTACACATGCAATAAACAGAACGATTTGTATTCACACTACAAAGTTCAACTTTATTCATAAAATCATATTTGCCGAATATTAATGGATGCAGTTTCTTCAATGGATATGTAAAATTAATTTAGTGGATTGGATATGTAAAACTAAGTTACATAGCAGAGATATTTATAATATGTCTCAGATTTATGCAGATTTGCATAAATTCTCTAGACAAGGTCACAACTGTCCAGAAGGTAAACAGAGATAACTGGTTCTTAAGAATGAAGTCTAAATTACGTAGTTTCTACTGAATCATTGTTTACCTAGAAGATGTAAACAGGAAAAAATGGTTCGAGGTGAGGTTTAATTTTAAATGTAATTATTAATATATTGGACGTGGGAAACGTACTAATACCCTTTTCGCGGACCATCAAGTAGTAATAAATAAATGTTGTTTATTTCATTTAAATTTTGCGTTCAAAGTAAAAGTTCGATTTATTTTGCGTATAATTGAACGCATTTCTATTTGCAATTAATGATCCCGAAAAGGAATTGAATAATAAATAAGTGAGTTTATTGTAATCGGTATACGTTCAAATGAGCAAAATGGGCCACGCGTAATGTGTTAATGTGAAAGAAATATTAAAAAACTGCTATGCAGAAGTGTCTTTCGTAATTAGGTCTCCGATTGTCGGTTTATCGTACAGACACTTCGCCTGCATGCAAGATATCAATTTCACCATTCGATCAGCGCAACGACTGAACTACTTTATATTATTTGAGGAATTTGTTGATGCGGCAAAAAAAAGTTGAAGAAATTCCCGATCGACTTGCAAATGATTTCCAACATCTGGACAGTTCCCAAAGGCGGCATACCAGACGCTCTTTACTTTAGCGCAGATGCGACCAGGGCCAGAAATTCAAAGGGAATCGCGACAGCCTTCGGCAGATGAGTCGGTGGTTAATCGTGGGCGAAGTATCGGACATTATTTTCGCGCTGTCTTAGGTGGGGAAACGGTCGAGAGGATGCTTTAGCATCTGGATTGCGCAATGAAGCGCGGGGGACCGCATGGCGCGAGCAACGCCACGGTTTTCCGTTCGGCGCGTGCGTGCAGGCTTGATCGGCCTCTGCCTCTGAAATGTTGATGCTAAATAAAACTCCTAGCTGGTTGGGACGATGCCATGCGTTCTAATTTTCACGAAGAAACGGCCGCTGGTGGACGCGGTGGCCCGGGGTCTGCCTTGCCTTTGGGTTTGATAGTCTCTTGAGGCTCTCCGGGTTGCCCGTTCTTCGCGGCGAAGAGAGGGAAGTTATTAAGCGAGGATAGTGGGGTTATCATCATTAAAGATTCAAGGTTTATGGAAAGACGTGATTATTTCTGGTGGTGTCGATCGTGGTAGCTAACGCATTTCCGTGAACCAGTCGGCAGAGTGGTTCGGGACCAGTGCTCTATCAGCGGTGTTTCCATGTGAACGCTGCGGTGACATGGCTGCCGCCCTTTTGGGCAAGTGCTTCGGTTTGTTAGCGCTCGTCTTTCTTCTCTACACCTGCTGTTATGGCTTCAGGATACGCGAGCACGGGCCGCAGACAGTTTCCACGTCCACGGAGCAGTCCCATCGGGCTGACTGCGATCCTTCCATCTTTGGCAGATGCCCGGAGAAGACTACGACACCGTTTACCAATCGAAAGTGGCACGAGACGCCAGCACCGCGACTCACCATCCGACGAAAACCACCTGTCGAGGTGACGTCGGATGACGGTGACGAGGGCGAGGCGCGTGTGAGACTCGAAAGAATTGGCCGCTCAACGGTTGGGGTTGTTGACGATGGGAACGAAGATTCGAGTGGTGAGTTAGGGGACGATGACGAGGAGGTAATCGTGGAGGTGGAGTATAGCGATGAAGCGGTAGTGGATACTGGTGAGAATGATGAAGAAGACGAAGAAAAAGCGAATGAAGATGAAGATGAAGATGGAGATGAAGTTGACGATGTAGATGAAGATGAAGATGAAGATGAAGAACTGGAGGACAAGAAGGATAGGAAACATTGGAAAGTAAAGTTAAGTGCGAAGAAAGAGAAGAGTAAAGAAGAGATTGGATTGAAGAAGAAAGAAATCAGATCGTTCAAGGAATTGAAGAAGTCGAAGGATACAGATGAAGCGGATGATAAAAATGAAAATGGTGAAGACTTGAAGAAGAAAGGTTTAGAGAAACGTTTGAAAGAAGTTATGCCGTTTAGGAGACTGAAAGTGGACAAAGTAAAACGTGATGAGGAAGACTCGGAAGATAAAGACAAAGCTGAAACTCAAGTTGAAGACGAGGATGAAGATGAAAATGAAGGTGGAGCAGATGAAACTGCAGATACAAAGGTAGATGCGACTAAAGATGCAGTTAAAGGTAAACATAAAAATGACAATACAGATGAAGACAAAGATGAGGATACAGATGAACAAAAAGACGAAGATGATGATAATGAAGACAAAGATGAAGACGAGGTCGAAGACGAAGACGAAGGTGAAGACGAAAATGAAGATGAAACTGGTTCAGATGATGAGGAGTCAAAAGAAATTATCACCCCTCCTCCCGTGAAGCTAGAAAAAGTCAGATTCGCTGATAAAGATAAAATTAAATCGATAGAAGTACGACCACCGGCTACAGAGAAACCAGAAGTTGAAGTCAAGCAACCAGTGGCGCCTGCGAAAAAGGACAAAGAACAGAAGGTAGAAGTGATCAGGAAGCAAGTGGAGAGTGCGAAGAAGTCAACGGGGAGCCTGGGAAAATCAATCGAGAGTCCGAAAAAAGTCGAAACCGTTAAAGTAACGAAGCCTGATTCAGAATCGTCTAAGCCCGAAGCTACAACCAAACCGGAGACCAAGGAGAAGGTTTCAGTGCCTAAGGAGAAGGTTTCAGTGAAATCGGAGGACAAGGAGAAGGTCTTCGTAAATCCGGAAGAGAAGAAGAAGACTCTAGTGAAACCCGAGGGTAAGGAGAAGACTCCATTGAAACCGGAAACGTCAAAGGCAAAGGCAAAAGAACCAGCGGCGCAAACCGTAAAGAAGAAAGCGGAAACAGTGAGTGCGAAAGGTGCTCCGGCTAAACCTGCTGAAGTTAAACGATTCGATAGTGAGTATCACGTTTGATTCGGAGAACTAAATTCCATGAAATCTTGTGACGGTGACATCTCCGTTAATTGTTTTAATAATTATTTGTAGAAGATGATTCGAAAGGAAAAACGAAAGCACACGTGGATGCTGCCTTCACTTTGGCTGAATTGAACGATGCGTTACTACGCGTGCCGACCTTCGTGCCAAATTTCACGGCCGTGGAGGATTTCGAGTGTCAGCAGCAGGGCAAGATCTTCCTGCGACAGCTGAGAGGACATAAATTGTGGGCACTGCAAAGTAAGTCCCCTTTCTTGGAATTGTAAATAATTAGGAAAGAATTAGTAAAATATCGGGCTCGTTAAGTGGTAAAGGTCAGGTTATTTGTATATAAAAAGATTTATACTCCAATGATATGTGAATATCTTCAATTTCATTTTTCAGTTATAGTTTCTTATTAATTAATTGTTAATGTAAGAAAAAGTGAATGTAATGTAACGTAATTGTTTCCTTATATTTTTTTGATTAAAAAACAGTTTTAATTGTAAATGAAAGAAGTATGAAAGATTGATTATGTTTCGAATGAAAATAAATTTGTATCTGATCTACTATTTCTTTTTATTATAACAGTGACTATAATAATATCATACAATTAATTTAAAGTTCAAGCATCAAAAATAGAAGTATAATTACAAATGCGATTCAATAAAGGGTTGTATTCAATTAATTAATTACCGAAACTTACATCAAATTTGTATAGACATTTATGTATGTGTATAATAATTCAGAAAATAACAGTAGTCGAGAATTCATCCACATTTAACGTTTGTTGTACGTAAACTGCAAATTTCTAATGTATATCATATAAATCTAAATAAGCGAAGCAGAAAATGATGATATTGACGCTTTGATGTAATTTTTCCTTTTATTTCAAAAATTTTAATGAAAGCTTTCGTAATTTTGAATGGAAAAAATGAATTTCTACTACATTTCAGTTTCTTACGAATCAAATTATAAGAATTAAAATTTTCTCAAAAAACCTGTACGCTAAATTTCAGCTGCTAGAAACGCGAGCGTCGGTGGTTATATCGATCTATTTTTAAACATCGATCAACCCGAAATTTGTAATTTACGGAAAAGATTAAAGAATTCGATTTTATAATTTTACTTTGGATTTGTGTTATACATATCTAAAATGTTACATTAATGTGGGACTAGCAATTAAACGATAGACTAAAAATCCTGCATTATCGTGGGGCCGGCGCGCAATGTGTTAAGCATAATATACATTTTAATAAGCTGTATTCACGTAATTATTGCACTACTTCGGTTATTCGTGTACCTACTTACATCTTCTACAATAAGTATTTATGTTACAAAAGTATAAACTGATTTTATTCGTTTGATAACGTTTTGTATTCCAGTGTTAGATTCCAGTGCAAAGATCCCGTCAGGATTGTTGCGGGGAAACTTGAACCAGCTCGGAGACTTCGACGAGTGTATGGGAGTAATGGCACACGTGAAGTTCAATAACACTACGATAAGGGTGCAGGGGAAATACTGTCTAGCTAATATAGATTTGTACCCTTCTCATCCGGACATGAGGATTCCAGTAAACATGATGCAGGCTCGATCCCTTATACGATCAAGCATGCGTGATGTAAGTGAACATTCTTTTACATTTATGATAACAATAAGATAATAATACAATAAAACAGTAACATAATATACCCACTAGTAATAGTTCCTTTTTATTATGACAAGGAAAATGATTAAATGATCCAAAGAAAAGTTAGAACAGGATTGTAGCAAGAAACCTGAAAATCAACCGAAACCTAATTTAATAACATATATCTTGATATAAACTAAAAAAAAATATATTTATAACACATTATGATTACTTGAACAAGAAAGTTAATTAAAGTACACAAACATTAATGAATAAAGTCTGTATGATTATACACAAAATTTTATTCTTAAATTAATGCTTATTATAAATAACATCGTTTAATAAATTTTAACTTTATCTTGATGTACTCCAATTTTCAATAATTTTGAGAAAAGATGAAATTTTTAGTTTAAAAGCTAAATTGTACAGTAATTTAAAAAACTAATCACAAAATAAATAAATTTTGTGAGTGTTCAAACGAAGCTATTAATTATTCACATGCTGTATGTGCAGGACGCATTATACTGTATAAAAATGCCTTAGCAAATATATTTCAAAATTCCAACTATTACGAAGATATAGACATTTTTATCTGTTAACGTCAATATAGACTTACCATTACCTTCTCGATAGTAATCAAAGTTGTATTATATAGACCGATAAATGACTTTGAGCAATTACGTAATTCGATCCTACATGCTTGTGCAATAATTCCGCAAAGCTCTAGAATTTTCAAGTAAGTTCACAATTCTTATAGTAGAAAATTATAAACTTGCTCAGAAATGCGAGGTGAAACATCTTCTGTAAATATCGAAAAACCAATACTTAAATCCGTCATGATGTTCACACATTGTGGGCCAGACATTTTGCTGCTAATTATGTTTATTAACCATCTGTTTTTCTGCGTGAAATATTTTCAAGTTACTTATAATTCATACGAAGATAAATATTATTGTCAAATTATTTTTGTAGTATATTTTAGAAGAGAATTACTTATCCATCCATAATATGCTAATATATAAAAGTGTTTGAACATACAGTATTTCCAGTTGGTTTTCGTATCTTATTATTATTTTTTCACCAATGAAAATTTTACCGGTATATTCTAGTTTTTGTGTTTGAAATAATACCAAATACTTCAGATTGGTGTTATAGTCTGAAGTGCCTCCTTCATCATAAATGTAAAATCTGAAACCAATTATTAGTTACGCTCGCTCCCGCGTATTCTTCTATTGTTTTTCCCTTACATTGCTCGCACCCATGGCGGTCCCTCACATTCGACCAGAAGTCTGTGTATCGTCGCATGGTCGACCTAATGTTCACCTCATCAATCTTATCAAATTAAAATTATTTTGTGTTTGGTTTCATTTGTATCAGAAAAATACGAGAATAACAATAATAAAAGTTTTAATAAGAAAAAACGGAAAATGAAAGGTTTGATCTGTTATTTAAAGGTTCGAGCTTGTTGTGAGCCTCTTGTTTATGCCGAATTCCTGGATCTCATGTCTTTTTCTTTCCCATTTGACATCCTTTGTTAGGTTTAGTCTGTTACAGAAGTAATTATAATAAAAATGTTATTATGTTTGGCGTTACATTGTTCGGGAAAATAAGACGAGTAAGCTTTATAGCAGAAAAGAAAAAAGAAAAGTTGAACTTTTTCGTCACGCTTCTATTAATGTGATTCTCATCGATTTTCAACTCTGGGTCAAATTATGCTCGCTCAGACGTCTGGAGTTTTTCAGTGATGAGGATAAAATTGTTACTGTTGTAGTATTTAAAGATCTTTTTTACATTTGTCAAGGAAATACTGTATCTTGGAAACAAATGAAATTTTTACCAATGCTATGTATCATATACATATCAAATGTTTTCCTTAACACTCTATATATGAGTATTTTAGAGTGCTCTAAAAGATTATGCCTTTCACTTATATATGAGCGGTACGATACAGAATGTGTTAATATATGTCAAAATTTACGCGCAAGCGTATAACACTGACAATATACATGTAAACTCAATAACATCATCAGTATAACAATATTAATTTATAAATTATTGCTAATCATATTTTGTGTACAACAATATTTGTATTAATATGTTTGCAGTAGAACTAGGTTTGAAAATATGATTTATAGTGTAATGCTATATATTTTCAATAATTTTGATGTCACAGATATAAAGTAAAATTTTAGGAATGAAAGTATTTAAGACTAGTAATGTGATCAGAAATCATTAACAGAATGTATGCCTCAGTGTACATCTATTTTTATCTTACTTTGGTTTATAAAATATAATTCACGGTACAATAATAAGTGAGCTATGTTTTCAAATCCATTTGTTTCACAAGGAATTATAATTATTTTTAAAAAATGAAACCTTTCATCTGGACTACAAGAAATATTTTCGTTCATTTTTATACCACGCAGCAAAACAAAATAATTCATTAAAAATTAGAACTCGTCAAAGAAACTTTTAAAAATATACGTTTTTTCAACATATCAGCCATTTGCACTAAAAGATATACAAAATTTGTACAAGTTCCACATAACTGTATCGAAAATAACTACAAAATTGCAGCTAAAACGATTTATTAGGGTCTGAAGTACACTTGGCATCGATTTTGGGAACACCGTTTTAAGAAGTAGATGTTTAAATTTCGAGTATAATTTATACTTACAATAGATATAGCGGTTTTCTCTGTATAAATACAGAATTGTGGTTTTTATAAATGTTTCAGTAAATATTTTACAGGAAAATCTGTAAGTTCATTTACACGATTACATTTTTAAGCAATTAACGCCTATACCTTGTCTACATAATTTCTCAAAGAAGACGCGTCGCCATCACATATGTCTGTTTTTGATGTTCCCTTTCTACTTACTACGAGTATAAATAAACACATACTAAACTCATAAGAATTTAAAGTCGATTTTAGGCAAATAAGATTCAAACCAAATAAATTCCACGTTTCTGAATCATTTTGTTATAAGAAATAACTTTCTGCCCAATTATGTCACGTATTTATGTTCACACTTTATTTTATATCTACTTTATCATTATTTTCTGTTATAGTAACTCTCATTTAACAAGGGACTATTACAAAGTGTTAATTGCCTAGATTAATGAAACTTTACATAGCAGTAGAGAACATAAAAAATTACGCCCCTTTTTGTTAGTCGTCATTTATGGTGGTGACAATAGTTCCTAAAAGTGGGAGTGGAAAATCCATTTTATTGCAAACAGATATCGAATAAATTTGTTTATCTAAAAATGTATTAAAAATAATTTATTTTTCGTAATATGAATTATATAAATATCCATTGCAGTATGTAATATTATTATAAAATATTACATTACGTTATATATTACAATTTTAATCTGAGGAATCCTATATTTGTAAAAACGTAGATTTCGAAAGAGCTGAAGTTATTGTTTTTATTATCGAAGGTTCTATACTATCGTGTTGATTTACAACTGCGAGTTTTCCTGTTTATGAAATTACATATTTAGATATCATCTCACATGCCAGGAATGTGGCGTTAAAAATGCAATTACCGGAATATAATCAGCTTTATGTCTCAGGATATTATAAATAAGTTTTCTATTTATAAAGCATTTACTGTACAGTTTTCATCTGTATACCGACAAAGCTGTCGTTAAAAAATTGGCCTCTTACACTCAACACAAAGATATTTTCGACCAAGTCGTTAAAAAAATCTTGTGCTTGAATAGCTTTTTTCAAACTTCTATTAAAGTTGTGTAAAGTAGTTTCTTTAATGTTTTCAAGATATTTCAATTTTTTTGAACGCTATTCAAAGATAATATTATTACTTAGTAGATATGTACTACAGACAACGTTACAAATATTATTTAAGGATAATAGGGATTTTATAGGAAACACTACAAATTGCTGGTACAAATAATAATGAAAAACCATGAAAGAATCTTTTTTCAACTGTGAGTGTTACGTTAATTTACTGAAATACTATAAAAATGTATTATTTCTTCAGAGATAGGTGTTGAAGGAATTTAACGCTCATGAAATATGTATAAACTACAGCTATAAACATTTGTATGATAATGTAGAACTCAAACAATCTCAATTATTAGAGTCTTCAAACTTTGGTTCACAGTTTGCACGCAGAAATTTACACAAAAGTATATTTATACAATTTTTCACCGAAATTTCTTGCTTCACAGTATTCAGTTTTTTCTAAAAAACAATTCTCATGATCAAATTATTAACATGCAGAATGACGCATGATTTTACACGGTAAAGTACACAAAAAGAAACAGATAAAACATCAAATTGTTTAATTGAATTGCGTTATTATTATTGCACGTTTATCCTGCCGAATGTTACCGTATTAGGATAGAATTATTTATAGTATAGAAATGCTTTCAAATAATCATCGTTTAATCGAGCGAATTATAGTAATTCTATTTAGTCAATGTTAAAAAATGAAATAGAGTTTAAAGTTTTTAACAGTAGCATTTTTACTGTAATAAGAACCAGTAATTGGTAGTTCACTAAGTTTCAATGCTGAGCTTTCTATAAAAATATCTTCTGTATTATAATATTAATCCTTTGCACTTGGAAGTTTTTCTATTAAAAATATTTGAATATTTTCTGATGAGATAAACACGATATTTTGTGAAACTAACTCGACGAAAAATCACACGTACATTCAGAAACAAAGCTATTTTATTTCAATATTTCTCAAATTGATGCGTTATACGAAGTATAATATTAAATATCAAATTTTATAGTTTTACTGTATGAAATAATGTGGTGAGTGAGAGTCACCTCTTGAGTGCAAAGGGTTATTTTATAATTATATGCAGAGTTTCTTTTTGTTGAAATATACGAACTTCCTTCACCCAGACTGTATATACTAGCGTAAATTCGCGACTTTACTACATTCCAATGTATTACTATTTTATGTTGTTTCTTTTAGCCTGGTCATTTTGTTCCAAAATTTACAACGGTGAATTGGGCACTGTGTCTTCCAGCAGCCTGCTCAGCCGAGGATGCCGAAAACGTATTGGTGCAGGCACTGAGTCATTACAATTTCACAGCAGGAATAAAATTCATGTTGGACGTTGATCCCAACATGTGCTACGTTAAAGAAAAGCCGGACGGCTACTCGAAAGAAACGATTGGCGTTTTGTACGTAATGTTTCAAATTATATTGTAACAACTGAAATTTGTATTCCTCGCTATGTAAAGCGAAAGCTTTGTGATTCAAAACATATTAAAAATACAGGAATCTACGAACTTATACGTTTTTACAAAAATCTAAAAATTGAAGATGCTAATATTGATATTTTAGATAAAATTTAGGAATTTCTTTTTATTATTATTAATTAAGTAAAGGAGTAATGATAACAGAGAGTAAGCATTGTAAGTTTGCAATAACAGCAACGTCAAAAGAGAATCATGCAGAGTGTAGAAATTATGGAAAAGGTGTAGGAATTTCGATAATGTTATGTTGAATATTGATTGCAATAGTTACATTGTGTGTTTATGAATAGAATATTAATATTCATGTTTCGTTAATTATAATTGAGTATTTTTGGTTTAATTAATTTTTGTTTCATTTTTCTAAACTGCCCTTCAAATTTCTATCATTTCATTTTTATTTTCATTATATTTTAGATACTTCTACGCTATGTTCGTCTGCCTAGTACTTGTAGCAACAGTGAGAGACTATTTAGTGGCGGCGAAGGGGAAAGGTAATACGTCATTGAATGATTTTCCCAGTCAAGTAGCGTATAATATATTATATTATAGTATTTCACCAAAACGAATTTTCAAATAATTGTATGCAATAATACTTAATAACACGAACACTTTGTTTTCTAATTATATTATTACTTTATTCAAAATCAAGGTATTTCTTATACCATTCTTTAACTTTAAGTTTTAATTATACTAATTTCATTGAGTAACTGTTATTAAAAATTATTTTTCAGATTATTATTTCATTTCTGGCTGAAAATTGAAAAAATATTACAATAGACCAGTAAAGTACTCGTTAAAATACTACATTGACCGTTACATTATTGACGCAATAATTTATATATTGCAAAACAATTTGTTAAACAATGCAATTACAATAAGAAAATGAACATAATACTTTTCTGTTTTCTTTTAAATATAAAATGTAGTTATATTTCTTAATTTATTTAATTTCTTTAGTTCAAAATTCAAGTTTTTGTAACAGTATGGGATTATTTAATTTATAAACGTTAGAGTGATATCTTTTAAAGCAACTTTTAATTCTGATTTTATTTGCCGTAGGAAATTATTCCGAGAGAATAATAATGGCCTTTTCTTTGCGGAGAACTCTCAAATCTTTATTTAAAGTGGGAACGAGTGAAGCCGATATTACTTGCATTCATGGAATAAGAGCACTCATGACAATTGCCATTTATATTGCCCATGAATTGGTGACGATATCGATGATGCCATATTCAAATCGAATAGAGTTTACGGAGGTGAGTCTTTAAGAACCAGTTGATACTGTTTAGATGCCATTGAAACAAATTTTTCTTCAGTTACAATAAAAAAGGGACTTAGCTATACAATTTACGAAAAGTAAATTAACACTAAACGTTCCACAACTGGTTGAATGACCGATTTCAAAATTTAGTTAAAACTGCATTTCCTTTCGCCCATTTGACTTTACATTAGTTCTTATTATATTGTCTGATTAATCAGTTTTTCAATTTTTGTCTTTCCTTTCGTTTTTGTTTTTACTAAGAATCATGTATCGTTTAATTTGTTTATCTTTATTTTATAACCAGTTATTTGACCGGTTACAGTATAAATAAATGTATATAAAATGCCGGTACGTTTAATGGTAAATATGCATGAATAATAAACCAAGATCCTTTGTTGTTGATCAGTTTTCTGCAGTAAAGTACACTAAGAATTTCTTTGAGAATTTTGAGAATTTAATTTAGAACCCCGATTAAAGATTATTATTTTGAAAGGTTACAAATCATCCGCTAAGCACACTTTTGAGAGCGTCAGCGATTTATACAGATGTGTTTCTGGTAATCAGCGGCGTATTAACTGCTTACAATATGGCATATGAATATTCGAAGCGAGGGGAGATACGTTGGTTTTGTCGTTTAATTGCCAGATATATCAGGTATGATTTCATTAACCGTCGATTGTTTTTATTAAATAAACAATGTTTACTTTATAAATATTGTTATTCTAAAACCAAATATCTTCTATTAATATCTTCAGAAAAGATAATTTTTCAAACGTCATCGTTGATTTTATTCTCGTTTCAGAAGTAGTGTAAGTCGAATTGTGACCAATATAATATCAATTGCTATTAATGTTTAGACTCACCCCACCTTTACTCGCGGTGGTGTTTTGGTACGCTTTCGTAATGGAACACATGGGATCCGGGCCTCTATGGAACAGCCTTATAATACCCAACGCTAATCTGTGTAAGAAGAACGCCTGGACAAATCTGTTGTACATACAAAATTTCTTTCCCTTCGAAGAAATGGTAATTTCAGACTTTTAACTATATATGCCATTGAAAGCCTCGAGCTTATGTTTAGTATTAATTATGGACTACAATTTATTGTAGCTAGATATTTTGTAAGCGAACTGTTGAACATTTGAAAGATTAATGCAATACTGTGCGATATATCCTTGTGTCCATCATTAATACAGTGTAGAAATTTCTTGGAATGAATTAATTACATTTTCATAACAAAATTAGAGAAAAAATATTATTCTGTAAATAATAGAAACCACGGTTTTAAGAAAATACGTAAAAAAATACCTCTTGAAAATTTGTAGAACACATTGACATGTTTCTATTTTTATGCTTTTAATATTTTATCTGTGATCAGTGATCATACACTTTTCGAGTGAATTAACGAAAATTATGTTGACCCATTAATAAATAATTGACACACGAATACATTGTACAATATTAAAATATTATTGTTTTTATTAGATACGGTTGATTTGAACAGAATGTTTCGAGACTTTCAAAGCTATGTACATATAGATATTTAGTTAATATGATAGTATGTTTTCTGAAGTAATTTTATATCTTGCCACGAAACTTTTTAATGATATCAAACTTTTAGTTTTGAATACTGAAACAGATTTTATATATTATTTCTAACAGTTAGAGTTCCTATTCGTATTTCGTATGTTGAAGTATATTCTTGTATATTCTGCTAACATGTTACTGATAATAAAAAGATCATCACTGGAATTATGCATTCATATAAAAAATACAAGTAGCAGATACAAGGTATTATGTATCAGATAAGGATACAAATAATTATAACTTTGAAATTCTTCCAAAAGAAGTTCAAGTGATAAAGTATTTTTTCAATTTTTAGTGTGCTACTCATACTCATCAACTTGCACTCGATATGCAGCTGTCGCTTTTAGCTCCGGTGTTGGTGTTCTTCTTGGAGTTTAAATTAATCATCGGGGTTCTTTTAATTGTTTTTTTCATCTTATTGGCGGCTACCCTACGGTACATAGCGATGATAGGCAGTAACGTTTCCCTTGTCATTTACCACGGAATATCGTAAGTATGAACTCAAATCCTTTAACACTAAAACTACCGGACAAGTCAAGTTGGCCCACTTCAGAATTCTGATTTTACAAGTATTTAAATTATGAAGGCGTGTTTGCGAAAGATTTGAAACTAAATTTATGTATTTGTACAGATACAAGATTAGGGGACCCTTCCAATCCCAAGAAACGTATTGTTCTAATTTTCATAAAAAATTGGAAATAAGTCACCCTAATTACTGGGTAGTTTTAGTGTTAAGATCTTTTAGTATTTATCAGTATTATAAATACTTACGTATCATGAACTTTTTCATTGTCTGAACCTCCATATCGAACTTGTTTTATAATATTTATAAAATTTAATATAACAATCTATTATTATATATAAAACAACAAATTACAAAGTGCACCATCGAATGTCAGGGAAGTGCAAGAATTAGATGCTGCACAAATAATGAAAGAGAAAAGATTTATTATGACACGTATTCCAACATTACTAGAAACCGTTAAACTAATGTTAAGATCCACGATGTCGAGGACACTGTGATGCAATTTTTGAAAGAAATTTTCAAGAATTGATCAAATTTATTCATTCGATCTATCAATTTCAGAGTGAAACAACTGTACAAAACTGCTAATTTAACTTACACGATGCCATTGCACAGAGCAACGCCATATGTATGTGGCGTGGGGCTCGGTGTATTGCTTAATTACACTAAAAGGGACGTTAGAATCCACAAGGTAGAACAGTTTTGAATATTTTTCGACAAGACTTGAACTCAACTTACAATCTATTACCAGGGAGGAAATGTTGATGTACTACTTTTAGGTATTCGTGATCTTGGGGTGGTTAATTGCGATGGCCTTGGGATCGTGGTCATTATTTTCACCTTGGCATCTATCCAGAAGGGACTACGTGTACGATGCTGAAGAGGCGACCAATTACGGTGTGACCTTCCCAATTCTGATGGCCTTGTCCGTATGCTGGTCCATTTTTGCATGTCACACAAATAATGGAGGTCTGATTTTTTATGTCTTTTATTGAGAGAGTCGTTGACATATATTTTATACATCATTCATATACATATACGTATACGATGCGTAATGCTCCAGAATTTCATAAAATTCTCTTACCACACAGTAGGACAAAATTACCATTTTCATAATTCATACCTTGAGTGGTATACTAATACCTACTAGATTTTTTAAGCTGATTTGCTATAATTATAGGAATTTCTATACGTTCAACGTGAATGTTTTTAATTGAATTTATTTTTAAAAGTTAGTTTTTGTTAGCAAATTAAAATATTACTTTTATCTGATTTAATTAGTACCTGTATAAACTGAAAGAATTTTATTATAATGCAATACATCAATGAATAAATATAAAATATAATTATTATAATATCATTACTTACGTTTAAACATTTCGTTTGAGAACAAAAAGTATTTATTATAATTTATTTATTATTGAAATGCCTAAAGTCTACGTATTAAATAGAACTTTTAAGTAGCTCTGTTGCTAGGATATGAAACAAAATTTTCATGGAAAGTAAACATTGTTAATACAAAATTTTTATTATTCTAGGAGTAATCAATAAATTCCTATCAAATCACTGGTTATTGATAATCAGTAGGCTATCGTATGCTATATACTTGACGCAGTTTGCTGTATTCTTCCACAATGTTGGGACCAAGAGGTATTCAAATGAATTTCAGTTGCGGGCAACTGTAAGTAATAGAAAATATTATTTGAAAAATTGCGTACATATCTCATAAAACCTCTGAAACTCATTTCTCATCAACATATTCTAGGCTGATCCTGTAGAACTAGGCGTGGTAGTAATCATATCCATCATTATAACGCTGCTCTTCGACTTGCCGATGCAAGAAGTTAGAAATGTTCTAATGGAAAGCACAGACATGCTAGTCACGACAGGTCCTACCGAAGAAAAATCTCCAACAGAAGTAACCGAGGAAACGGAAAAACTACTTTTACCGGAACAACAAAAGGACAAAGTCTACGAAGACGATGAGGTAGCCTCAACCGGCTGGGACTGGCAGAAGGACATAGTTCACGGTGGCATCAAGAAAACCAATGAAGCCGTCGAAGACGAGGAACAAGTCGATATGCCGATAATGAACAAAACAAATCGCAGAAAATCGTTCATGGCTCACGATTCCTCGGAGAACGAGTCCGCGTCACCCATGGAATGGGTGCAAGACTCGAGCAGAAGATACTCGGGAAGTGACAACGGGTACAGGGAAAGAGTAAGAAGAGGGCGAAGCGTTCAAAGGGATTACCGGGACTCCGAGCAAGAAGAGGAATATTCCAGGTCGCAACGGGATCGAGAAGAAGTTGTCACGCGAAGCAGACGTTCGGCGTCCAGGGGTCACGACAACAGGCGTGTGTCCCCGCAGGATAGCGACGACGAGGAAAGGTATCTGCGAAGGCAGCAGGAGAAAAACGACCAGAGACAGTACAGACGGTCAGAGTCCAGAGGCCGATCAGTGATTAGGGATTCGGACGACTATCGTTCGTGGGAGATGGTCGGCAGGGAACGTTCGTCCTCTCGAGGCCCCGAGCTGAAGAGGCTGTCCAGCAAATCGGAGGAGTACGAGTCAACGCACAGACAAACAAGATCGCCCGCGATCTCGAGACCCCCCGACCCGAGGAGAGTGTACTCCTCGGAGAGCGAGGAGGAAATCCTGCAACGGAGGAAGCTAGAAAAAAGGCACGCTCCGGTGGAGCCGAGGATTAGCGACGAGGAGGACTGGGAGGGCGAGCTGAGAATACGAAGGAAACAGTTTATGGAGAAGCTCGCGACCCAGGAGGGGGACTCCGTGCTTGAAGAGGAGGATTTAGCTTCCTTGAAGAGAAGGTCTTCGGCGGAGGGGAAAATAGCCATACTGAAGGATCCTTCGCCGGACGACAACATGGATTCCTGGACAGTCAGCGTGGGCTCGCGAGTGGCGCAGCTGGGATCATCTCAGGAACGCAGCGAGCCTGAAGAGGACCACGCTTACATACGGCGAAGGGAGTTTCGGGAACGGGCGCCACCTCCTAGGGAAGACACTCAGAGCGAGGAAGAGGTTATCTGGGACGCTTCTAGGGGAAGATCCAGCGTCAGTAGCAGCCAAGTCACTTCCATCGAGGAGGACGAAGATGTTTCCAGTTTTAATTTTGTATTGACGAAAGACAGCAAAAGGATGTCTTTGCAGGTAGAATTTCATAGATTCCATTTCATTCAACAAAACAGTTTCTTTTAATCGATATAGAATGTCCTACTAGGCAAGAATCTTTTTCTGTTTATTAACCCTTAACGGCCGAGAGCTTTTTTTGTAATACTCGCCCATAAGACGTTATATTACGGTAAATATTTTTTCTCAGTGCATGATCAACAAACCAGTGATGTAATAAATTGCAATATTGGATAAAGAAAACTACAGTGACGATAAATAAATGAAATGAAAATTAAATTTTTTTCATGTCCCCGTATTGAGGCATTTCGGTTGTTAAGGGTTAATTTGGCTGTACATTTCGAGAGGAGACAAGTGAAAACTTGTGTAGGATTTTATATAGTTGAAATATTTTGGTAGAGCATTTTGATTAATTAAATTCAATGATCTCTGTTGCATTTAAAAATAGTAAAAAGTATTTGAAGTTACATTAATTTTGTGATAAATATTGTGGGTGCTACAATAATTTGGTTACGACATTTTTCGACAACAATGGATTTAATTTATGATGAATATGTAAGTTATTCGTTCAACAGCTTTTTTTCAAAACACTACGTATGAAAAAATTGTTCCATAGTCATTTAAACAATGATGTTGTAAAATGAATGGCTACAAATGAAGTGAATAATTTAATATTACGTACTTTAAGGTTAACTTTGTTTACAGGATCTATCGAAACTGTCTCAAGAAGAGTCCGACAGATCTGACTCAGGATGGAACATTGTGAAGAAGGAGGGCGTTCCTTCTGATAATCAACTGAAGGCTACGCCAGGTCTGTATAAACGAGAGTCTATCATAAAAAGTCAAGCCAGCGAGGAGGATCCAGAGTACCTTCTACCGGAGAGACCAAAATTGGTCCAACAAGAACGGGAACACCCTTTCAAGAAAGCTTGGCAAATGCAAAAGTCGAGGTCCGAGGAGGATGGGTCACCGTATGCTATCAAAGAACATAAAGAACAGTCGAAAACAGAGTTGAAGACAGAACCAAGGACAGAATCGAAGACAGAGTCAAAGACGGAGTCGAAACCAAAGAGTGATGATGTTCCAACTATACAAAGGGAACACAGCGGGGAGCAAAGTTCCGAGTGCGAAGACATTGGAGCATTTGCCGATGATGAGTCCGAATCTATTATGTTGTCCCGTAGCAGAAGCACTGATACGGAAGAAACCAGAGCCAGTTCGAAATCGGAGGAGTCAACGGAAGGAAGGGATAGCAAATCTTGTTCGAAATCGGACGTCGAGGATGACTCTTTAAAAATTAATTGGCCGGTCGAGGAAGAGGAACAGGATGAAGTGCCGAAGAACGTCGCAAGAAGCAAATCAGAGGAGACAGATTGGACCTGGGAAGAAGAAGAGACTTGAACCGAGGACGGAGTTTCAATAAAAATATAATTGTAACCAATTATTACGAATGATGTTACCCAAGCGGTGAAGGGCATGCGGTGACGGACGAAATTTATTGGCACACCGTTTAAAACAAGGGTTTACGTTGAAGTGTCGACGAATGATGTTTATATTTCGAGTTAATAAATTTGGAATGGTTCCGTTTTGAAATATATTTTTGCAACCCCTTTTACTTTTATGGGATCCGCTTACGGTGAATTGTTAAAAATTTATTTGGTGCAAGTACAACTTGTTAATCTCTTCAAGATTAAAAACATAGTTTATTTTATTCTTTTACTCTCTAAATTAACTTGAAATCACTTTTGTTTACCATGTATCGGATGGACTATTGTACTTGATCATTTAGTATTTATGAAGTCAAAGTTTACTTAGAAAAAATGCAAAAATGTAGGAGAAATTTGCACAAAACTGGGTATGTGGGTTAAACCGGGTACCATTGTTTTTATAAGATATGAGCTGAAAAATGCAGCTAAAACGTTCTATCACGTTCGAGTGATCCTCGAGATATTATTAAATGAGTCGCAGGGTAGAGATCATCATAATGTTTCATACAGACGAAGTTAAATATTTCTAGTTGAAAAGTTTCAGCATTTTGAAGGTAAAGTAGTTGCTTTGCGGCTGCTTTTTTATATTTTTGCATTGAAGAATCCATGCGAAAAAATTAAATTAAAAAGTATTTCGCCGTTTTATTCATCTTTCTATCATATACTGAAATAGAAATATTTAATGTTTAGGGCAGAACCGCATTCACAGTTTGCCTCGTATTAGCTTCAATGGGGAACGAAAGTATTATTTTTTAAGTTATAGCAACAAAAATTGCGACTTTTGTTTAGTTAATAATTAAGATTAATATTGTATACAGTTAAGATATTTAAAATTGTTTATAAATACGATAAAAGTTTCTAAGTTCTTGATATAAATTTTAATAGGTTAAACGAAATTAAAGTACTTCCATATTTGTTAAATTTGTTGAAAATAACTTTTTTACTATTTCTTTATTTAATGAAAAACAAATTTATGATTATATTGTATTTGATACGTCTTTTGTAAGGTACCTGGTCTTGCCCACCTCTATGGGGCAAACCCGAGTTTTTGTATGCCTCCTTTTATTTTCTTGCGAACAAAACAATTTTTTCCAAAAAGAATGGTAATTTTCTCATTCTTTAAACGAAGAGATAACGCCTTGTTTGAAGCTTTTTTTGCCATGCGATTTTATAGTGCAAATAGAAATACATTGCGACCCCGGTTCTGCTCCACTTTCTTCTGTATAGAATATAGAAAGGTTTAAAAAAGGAAACGCCGGAGATATAAAATATGGCAAGCATAAGGTTCAATTTATTTTCAATATATATATAAATGAAAGCTCAAAATTAGCATTTATATAGACAAATACTAGTAATTTTTATAACAAGTACTTATTATTATGTTGGTTATATTATTCTATTTCGAGACATCTTTTAACTCTTTGCACAATATCTATAGTATTTTGTTATACAACTATATTGACATAATACGTAAGTAATCTATTCTGTTTTACAAAAGTAAGTTCGAATTGTTCTACGGAAAACTAAAATTGTAAAATAATAAATATATGCCAACTGTACTCTTTATTTTTGTATTTTTATTGATCTTCATAGTGATTTATATTTTTGTTATGGATAAGAATAATAGAAACTCTGAGAATGTTGCACGTATTTATATTAATTTTTATAGTCATTTGTTTCTTTAACATAGATGGAAATATTAGTCACTTAGTATTATTAGAAATGAAAAGGACGAGTTAACATTCAATAAAATTGGAAACAAACATGAGATTTCAATGATAAGAGCTGACAAAATAAAATATATGAGGAGTACAAAGAAACATAATATATTAAATAATTTAATCAAATTTGACAAATCAATGAAAATTCTAAAAGTAAGGTCTAATAAAATGAAATATAAGTTAACGAATGAAGAAAGAACTATGTGCAAATCACTAAATTAATTTATTAAGTAGAATACTCAATCGTTTCTTCATAAAATAGAATGTTTAATGTTTGATAGTTTCATGTTATTACTTTAAAAGTATATGACTAAAACATTGAAAACTGCCTTATATTGTCTTATACTTGGAATTCAGGTAGAAGTATTATTAAGTTCACGAATTCTATGGTGCATACTACGGATTCATTTTTTTCTATCATGAGCAACTCCGTCGATCTCATTACGGTTGGCGATTGAAGATCAGAGTGGGCTGACTTAAAGTACGTCATTAAAATTCAGTCGGACCTCCACGTCATTATCTTTGATTCCTATGGTCAAACGCTCTCATTAAAGCTACTTACCATATTTCACTTAGGTATTTGGAAACCAACTAACAATCTTCTCTAGTAACAAGTGAGCTAAGCGTATTTAATCTTCACATATTAGTAATTGCATTTAAGAAACTTGTGCATTTACAAATATATATGAATAAATACTATACCATTATGTTTTCACAAATAAATTTTCGCAATTATAACCTCTTTTTTATGTGAACATTTTGTCTGCGTTTGTGAGATATAAACTGAAAGTTTTCGAAAAAGGTGTGAGGCGTTTTATCATATAATTACGGATATCTAAGTTTAATCTTGAAAATTGAGTGCAAATTTTTCAGTGGCTTAAGATTGCCGAGAACATCAAACATATTACTTTTATATTGTAAATGTATACTACTTTCATAGCCAGTTTTCTTATGATACATTTAATATAATGTAAATTGAATTTCTATAAAAAAATTGGATAGTTTAAATTTTACATGCCTTACAACTATTCTTGACGGAGAGAGTTGTACGCATCGTCGTCGGATGGCGCCATCATTCACTTCTGAGAATTTTGTCAAGTTTATGAAGAATGTCACAAATATGAAGTTTATGAAGAAATCACAAAACAAAACTAAAGACGCACATTTAAGTGAACTCTTCCTAGCTATCTTGATGATTGTGATAACACAACTTAACAAGAGAGGTCGACGCCATTGTCAAATAGAATTTATTGTTGTAATCAATCAAATTTACCGAACTTAGATACACCAAGCATTTATTTATTATATCCTGAAACGGGAAAAGGTTCAGTGTTCTAAGGGTTAATTTGCACTTCGTTCTGTAACTATCATAAAATTTCTTTCGCAACGTAAAGTCCGCCTGTTAAAGAAAGGGAAAAAGAGTAGGCGAAGACAATGGAGATGCAAATAGGTGCCAGGTCAAAGGGGAAATATAGTTAAGTATGAAATACGATACTGAAGATTCTTCCATCAATTTATGCGTGGCGTATACACGACTATTCCGTCCACTCGCTGCATGTTTACGGTATGAAGACTTCGCCTGTGCTGCGTGTCCTGTGCGACAGGCATAAACGAGCCAAGCCACGGCGGTCGAGCGAGCGATGCAGTGAAAACCATCGTAAGCGGCCGTGTCTCATGGATTCTGCCTATGCTGAACGGAAGTAATCCCTCCGGCACTATAAATGCGAGCGTACATCACCGGCATGGATAACGTCCAGCCGAGAATCACCTCCGACCGCACGAGCAAACAGCAGGCATTATGCGCTCGTACGAGCTCTTTACGAGATTTTGCGTCGTAAAGCACGCGAAGAAAAGCAATTTCTTCTGTTTAACACCTCCAATACTGATTTTCGGATCCTGGGTGAATAGGGATTATACACCTTCAGTGTATATCACTTGTGACTAAGAGGAGGCTATTAACATTGACGAGTGGCAACGAGTTTCCTAATTTTCGGTGGAATTTATTGGCCAATTTTGCACACATCAAAATAATAATAATCATTTATTTTGAACTGATCGAATGTCGATTTTACATGTTTATATTAATTTATTATAAATTAAGCTCGTGCTATAATAGGATGTTTCGTATATAACGATTATCGATTTTTTTCATTAACACTAGGATTGCCAGATGAGTCATAATGACTCATTCCTAATTTCTTCTGTTACAATTACTGAAAACGTACAGATGCTTCTGTGAGAAATCGTTAAACACGTTGATTTAGTAATACTTATACTGAAATATTAGCCAACTGAAATCTTAATAAACACACAGTTAGAAGTTTTATAAAGAAATTTTGAAAAATCAGTTTAAGTGCTTGGTAGTTCTAGTGTTAATATTGAAAGTGAGAAAAGATGATTGAACTGAAGGTGATAGTGTAATGTAAATGTGGTGATTGTACATAACACGTTTCGAAACTTCTAATTTACGAATATTTAGTAGTTAACTTCAACTTTTTGTAGTTGAATATAGTGATTTATAAATAATATGTAGGTATTAGAAAGCATCAGGATTGACGTTATTGGAATAAATGGTGACGTAACTAGAATTCTTACGAATTAGTCGTATACCCGTAACAAGTGACAAGATATGCAATTATCCAGCAGAATTCTGTTGTGAAATATATGAATAGTCGAGGACTTCGATAAGTGGTTCTGATCCCTAGACGTACCTAGACGTTCTCAGGTATGAAACCACAAAATGGCATAGCCATCGTGGTCTCGGACGTTCAAGGAATTCGAAACGGTCGAAACGCGAGCGGTACGACCTTCCACAGATCACTTCCTAGCAGTTCAGACTACCATGCTTCACGAGACCGTGGCTGTGAGCAAAAGCTTGGAACGGGACCCTTGCGATTCTAGAATCCGGAGCCTCGAGCAGTGTGACCCTTCGCGAGCTAAGAATGTGGCGGCGGTGGTTTCTATTTAGGTGTTCTGCATCATTGACCATTGGACGCCGGGAATATGTTTTTTTCTTCACAAAAGAAACTTAAATGTTATGGATATTTTAATACTATACTGCCGAGTATTTAATAGGATTAATATCTAATCTCTATAAAAATTGTGACAATAGATGATTTTCAGTTTCTTCAGACATCCATTATAGTATTCAAGTGAAACTCTTTATGTTCAAGATAATTTCGAATATTCAATGCTTTATAGATATCAGTAATTGCGAAACAAACAAATCGAAACCAGTCGTTTTGACTGGTACGGTAGCTGTAGTGTTAAAGGACTCTACTCACCTATTAATTCTGGAGGTGAGAAATATTTGAATAAATATCTACCATTAGAGGTAATATAATATAATATAATATAGTATAATATAATATAATATAAT